ACAACTACTTTATAAACATTTGGCTTAACCGAGTCTGCTCAGACTGCACTTGGTGCACGTAGTCGCCCCCTACCCGTCAACCCCCAGACCCCCCTCCCCCTATTTGAACGCGTGTGCCCTGAACACGGGTTTTTCGCCCTAGGCATACGCCGGCAAAATTTGCCAGAGCAAGGCATTAATCCAGGCGCCGTATTTGGGGAGGGGGCGGTAGCAAATGCAGGAGGCCTGCGTGCGCGTAGGGTTTATCTCAGGTGGACTTGGGAGCTTGTGTGTTTGTGTTCGACCATCGATTTCGATGACGGCTTATAGACTACCCTGGCCAGTGCACGGAATACCGTCCATATACGCAATGACGGCGCAGTGGAACCAACGTGGGACCTTTGGTTCCACTGGAACCATTCTATCCTTTGGTTCCGGGACATTGCCATTAGGGAATGTCAGCCATCTGACGACGAACCAAACCATCCGCCATTTAAATGATAAAAATAGCAGCGTCACACCAGGATAGGAGAAAAAGGCTGAAAAATGCAATCATCTCAATGTGGAATGCTAAGCAATGTTCAAAGCTTAAAATTAGTGCAATTGCTAGTCTGTTTTAATAGGCTGAAAGACAGGCGAAAATGCGAAACTAGTGTCGGAAGAGCCTTACGCACAGTTCTTTCAATTTATTCTAGGTCAGGGCTCCGGACGTGGTTTTTAGTCCTGAAACAAAAAAAGGTAAACCTGTTATTATCAGATTGTTCTACGATGTTGAACAAGCGTTTAGTAGGAAATATGTCCAATTCTGTTGGAGTATATGTCAATGCATTATAAATTGGGAATCTTGTGGGCCATTTCAGTAGTTGTTAAACTCCAATTAGTTACACGATATTCTAACTTTTATTGAAAGTTTGGCTTATGGATGACAGCAACTTATATTAGAGCATTATTGACCGGAGTTGATTATTAACGTTGCCGAATCCTAGTACTATGGCGGTCTGCTATAGCAGAATTATAGTCCTTGCTCCTCGTATAATTATGGACCATCACATTAGTTATTTGCATTTAAATGTGTTTGTCAGCTTCCAGTACTCCTGATATTGTTCTAGAGTGCTGTAAATATCGTCAATGTCTTCGCTGGCTTACCCATATACACACTGCATCGGGTTTGCACGACGTGTTGAGGCCGGTCAACTTTTTCTGCCGGATGTGCCACCGTCTGCGGTTCGATAAAGGGGCTTGCCGAACCCTGCGAATTTCAGGGCTGAATGCACGCCTAAGTAGCACATGGAGCAATACGTCTTATTTTATTGCGGACTATCACAAAAGTCGAATTAAAAATTGCCTAACCAAGGAAATTTTATTCGGCTTCCTGTTTGTATATGTTCATGTATATGGGCGATCAGCTTTATAAATCTGTTGTTTATTAGACTGTCTTAACTTTTGTTGAACAATTGTGTAGCCTTCTTTTCTAAGCGGTGCATCCCCTACGGCCTGGAAGCCTATAGCCGCAGCAGTTCTGCACACAGCTGACAAAGGACGGAGTGCTTTGGCCTCTGTAGGAGTAAACCTAAATCAGCCAGGCTTCAGCTGGTTAGGGTTGCCTGACGCCTTACAGGCACCTGGAATGTGATACCACTAGATGATGCAAGGTGCATGCTAGCCTTTTCAATTTCGTTATGCTCTTAACCTCCCCAGCTGACGAACAGGATATTGGAAGAAAATAGTCGTATCTTCACAGAACCAACTCCCGTTCTCGCTGTCTGCCTTACAGTAAAATTTTAGTATGTTTTTGCTGAGGGTAACACTCTAGATCTCGTACCTATGCTTGCAAATGATCATGCTAATTGCGTGGCAGTCTCCCATGGCAAACACATTTACTGCTTATTGTTCGTTTTGCACAAGCTTTATATTTTTGTGCTATTTTGTCCGTATTTTGTTTTACTAACTTTTGCTTTATAATTTTTTTTCAGAACGCCCTTATCTCATTTCGGCTTGTTGACTTAAGGGAACCTATTCTACCCGACACCGAACCACTTTTACTGAGACAGCAAGGAACGCCTTCTTAGCAGGATGCTTGCGGCGATAAAAATAGCTGAGTCAGGCACAAGGGAGGACGTTGAAAATATCATATCTAGTGAGGGGGATGTGAAGCGTGATGTAGATAATAATACCCTGCTTCACTATGCGTGTCTCGCGGGTAATTTGGACACAGTCATGGCTCTGGTGAATGGCGGTTATTATGTAAACGCACCAAACGTCGAAGGGCATACACCCCTCTGCGATGCTGCAATTCATGGGTCTCCTGACGTCGTCAGGTATTTAATTCAGAATGGTGCTAATGTAAATCCACCTGCTTACTGGGGCTCACCTCTGAATTATGCCGTTCGGAACGGTACTTGGCTTTTATACTTAATTCTTAACGAAAATGTTTAGGACGTTTTCACGCCTTGGTTCTTCTTATTAATGGTGGAGCTGATATCAATGGATGTGACCGCACTGGCTTTTGTGCTATCCACGTTGCTGTGGAAAATAAACTTTACGACGCTGCCGAGTACCTTCTCATGTCTGGTGAGTCTACGCACCAATTACGTCCATTTTAGCTGATTTATGAAATATCTATTTGGTTCCTCGTTTCCGTTTGCTTAGATTAAGCATTGATTTTTTGCCTCCAGGCCCCAAACAATATCCCTTCAGCGATTAGTTCTCCATACAACCCTTCCAAGAATCCTCAATTATAGATTGTATAATACCCTTCAGCCAACTGCTCCCCTTAATATTGGTCTCTGCTAAACAAGCAACTTGTTCTTCTGTTTTATCTAGGTGCTGATCCCAACCGTCGAGTAAGGTTGACAACCCCTCTTCACATGGCGGCCAAACAGCAGGATTTGCGGCTTGTTCGTCTTTTACTAAGTCATGGCGCCAGCCCATACCCCACTGATGCAGATGGGTTAACACCACTTGATTACTCGTCCAAAGGTAGCGATGTCTACAAGCTCCTCAATTCGTACATGGGTATGTTTTTACATTTGTTTTCCCTGCGGGGGATATATGGCGCGCGTAGGATAGGATTGTCGCCTTAATACTTATGCACATTGTTCTTAGTCGCACGAGGCGGTCACTCCATTACACTCCCACCTGACCTCAGTTCTCAACTGTAGCTTAATCGGGCGTAGCGGCGCCGCATCCAGTGAATCTGCGTACGTAACTGGGTCTGATCAGTAGGAGTGGACCACCAATGTTGTACCACAGGTCACCCACTGTGCCCGAGCCCACAGTGTCACCCAGAACCAGTTCTGCCAATAAAACACGATGGATGTTGGTAAAAAGAGTGGGCCCCCATAATTCGCTAGAAATCAAAATCAGCTGCTCTCGAGGGCAGTAGTGTCCACTGCAGTGCTTAACAGACGAACCCTGCCGATGTTAATATCTTATTTCTATTGGCATTGCCCTCCTAGCCATCATTGTAACCGCAATTTCCAACACCACTTCATTCATCAGTCTCTACATTGGAATTGCATACTTCTATGCGTTATAATTGTCATCGCTGGGTCGAGGAGTTTATTTGCCTGATGTTCGGATTCTGTCGGGAACCCTTAATCATAGATAATCGTAGAATAGTGTGACACATGCATACAGATGATCTGTGAATGTTCTCGACAGAATCCGAAGCGTCAGGATAATAAACTCATCGTTCCAGCGATCGTATCTTCTACTTCTGAACTGCTTCCTGTAATTTGCATTATGTTGCAAGGGAAGAATTTATTGGGCACGTGTTGAGTGCTCCTGTACACACGAGTGGTGGCTGGCCAAAGCTTGTCGTACTGCAATAAGCTCTGAGTACGGTTTCTGATATAGTATAATTAATAGGCAAGGAGTTCCCTAACTCTCAGTATTATGTGCTAGACCACGTTCAGTTTAAGTCATTGCTGTGCACCTACTTATTTATCGCATCGACAATGCTTTTATATCAATCGGATGTCAAAATCCTTCCCCTATACAAGCGTTGCATAGTTTTCAGTCATCAATTGCAAGCAGTTCTTAATCAATGGCGAATGTACTCCTTGCAGGCAGTTTCTACTTCTGTACGACATAGGTGAACACGTATTTACTCGGAACCCAAATTACGCACAAATTACGCCAATCATAGGCACGACAGTTCTATCGCGGTCTATGTGAAGCATAGGACACAGTGGTGACTGGCGCTTGACCTTTTTATATTAAGGCAGACTCTCACAATATCTACTTCACTTCACTCTTCACCCGCCAATCGTGTCCCCATAATAAAACAAGATCAAATGACCGCAGGTTGGCGTGAGTATGGTGACCGATAAAGCTAAACTACCTATCTACCCGTGCCACGCACGGCCTGGTCCCCAGCTCCATGCATACCCAGCTTCAGTGAAGGGCGAGCTCAAATTTGCGGCTGGTAAGAATTCTATAAAGGTCATTTCAGCCTGAAATCTTGTTTTAGTAGAACCGGCCTATCTTTTCACTTGGAAATTTCCACACAACTACGGAAAGCATTTGCTAACCATTTAAAAGTGATTTTCATGATGATTGACCTGAAAATTGAACGTTAACCTCGAGCTGAATTTGCCTGTCCCCGCATCCGCCTATTTCCGTTACCTGCCTAAGGCTTTCGTTTTGCTGTCGTGGAAGCTCGATACCTGAAACCCTCTCTACACACCTTCCGCGCGCATGCTGGTCTTTTAAACCGCTTTAACCGAGTTTCCTCGAAGGGAAAAGACCCCATGTTAATAGAACATGCATATGCTCCCACAGTATGTTTCGGCCCTCATTAGGATGTCTAAAAATTTACCGAGTGATATTTACACAACTAATTTATGATGTCATATCAAACTACGACTTTTATGCGCGTCCATGGGCAGTTCGAGTGTGCGTATTGATCGTTTTAGTGTGAGAGCTGTAATGTCTTGGTGTCCCTTAACCGTCGTTCACTATTTTGCCGGTCACGAAGTTCCTCTCATCGTTTTCCACGTTTTCTTGGATTTCTTCCACCTTGATGATCAGCTCAGTCAGTACGCTTCTACATCAACAAAGATTAGTGTTTGTTGTCAGTCTTGTTTTTAGCATAAGTCTTGGGTAGCCTACTTCCATCCGAAAGGAAGGACCGAATTTCTTCATTGTTATCGCCCAAGCAGACTTAATGCCGTCGGCGTTTGCATCGATTGCCTGTAGCGTAGCTGCTGTCCTGTGGTTTCTTCCATTTGGAAAGAAAATCACCCCCCCTTCAAAATTTGCATTCGCCTCCGATTTATGGCCATAAAATTGCTGAAATCCAATTGGTGTTCAGCCATCTCGCATATTGTTGTTTTCAATTTAATTGGTTGGAGTTGCAATCTCATATCCGGGATGGGGCAGGGGGAGCGACAAGGCGGCGATATATCCACCATTCCGCGCCACTCATTGTCCTTATCAGTCGCCTATCACACTGATCACGACTTCTGGCGGTGTCAGTTACTTTGTTCGTATTCGGTACACCGTTACAGCGTTGACCTAACCACTGCCAACAGGATACCTCTACAAATGCTCGATAGGGAACGCTCCGCAGGGAAGACTGTCTGTAAAATAAGCAGGTTCTCCCGCGTCTAACAAATAATGCATCGCAGAGCAGCTGCAGGGCCGAAACATGCCTACTGCTTGGTAGAATCTGACTAAGCCCCAAATGACAGCAATTCGATATAGTGACCTTCAACCGTCGTCAAACCAGTATACCCGTTCCCACTAGCTTACGGTTAAGTAATTGACTCAGGGCGCTTTGGGAAAAGACCCTGAACAAGCAGTTCCGTGTTTAAATTCCTCAGCATACTCTTACGAACAGCCCTAGCTGACCCGCTTGCAAGCCGCTCTGACGATTAGTTCCCACATCGTGCGCGTGACGATATCCCACAAGCTGCCGACAGGTTTCGTGCTCTAACCAACCATTCGGACGAGTCGAAAGGCCAGTCGACTTAAGGACACTATCGGATTGGTTCGATTGTAGTCTGACCTTGTACATACGCGTGTGTTCCTTTTTGGCCCTAAGCACGCTGTTAGGCTACGACAATACCCTTCTTTTCTTCAGCTCTTGCTGTTGACTTCCCTCTCGGAGATTAGTAGGACAGACATAATCGAGGCTTGTGGCAATTTCATAACACATGCCTCATTAAAATGTCCGAACACAGCTAGATTGACTAGATTCCGGCCAATTGAGAACTTCATATTTGGGTTCATAACAGGAGCTCGACATGCGATGTCAACAGCGGTAACGCCTGTAGGTCAAATTATGTCCTCCTTCGCACCTACCCGGGAGTTCACGCCACACCCATAAATCACTGGACCTGAACTAGCGACGTCCATGAAGCAGACATAAAAGGTTGATACTGAAAAGCTTAACTAAACTGCAAGTTTGTAGTAGGCCCACCTCACTAAGTAACTCTGTTTACTTTGTGAATGAAGGTTGTTTTCCTGACAGTTCTGTCAAGACTGAATTCTGGTGTGCATACTTCAAGTACCCTCTCGCTTTTGATGACCAAGCCATAATCTCTTTCTCAGCACATTTTGAATTCTTTTTTTCCTTTCTTAGGCTGGGTTCCGTCTCTGCAATTTCTCACGCGAATTGCTATCAAGGGGTTTTTGCCATCCTTTCGACAGGAAAACATCCGAAAACTACCCATACCGCAGCATCTTCGTGACTATCTTGCCTTTAAGTGTTGAGATTTTTGTTCGCCTCCCCACCTCACTTTCACTCCCTTTACTTCATACTACCCGGGGCGATCTCTCTTTCGCTCCCTCTCTTTTCCTAGACCAAAGTGCCATTGCAGCATTGACTTTAATCTTCTGTTTGCTCATTTTTTTTCCTCATTTGTCCTTCGCCCATTCATTTGCGTCTTTGCATTACTTCTTATTTATTTTTCATGTTTGCTGTTTTCATACTTTGTCCGTTCAGTCTAACTTTGATTTACAATGTTACTCTCCTGTCTCTCTCTCTTTTTGTGTACATAGGTAGACAATTATACTTTTGAAAAGTGTTCTGTTCTTTGTAGTGCCTCTCTGGTTAAATTTCCTAGGTGGAGTAGCTGGCTATTCAAAATGGCAATGATCGAAACTAGCATAACGGGGTTAGTATGCGACCCCCATGTCTACATGCTTCAGAATCACGGGTCTTGACGGATTTGAACGCTTGAACCAAAGAAGAAGTCAGGCCGACTATCGATTGAGTAAGTCAGTCACGGCTAGAGATATCCTGTAACAACATTTTCTCAGAGATAAGTCGTCGGTGTAGCAGATTGGCGGGACGGGCAAGCGTTGAAAAGACTCGCAACTTACTATACACAGCCTTGTATATTGGTTTTCTTCCAGCGACGGTTTTATTGTCGTATCGGATGAACTTCACCGTCTGATTTTCAAGACGGTGGTGCAGGGACGGTGACTTGCGCGTGGATTACTTTAAGTGAAAGTAGTCTTGCGCGCCATCTACCGTACTCTCTCTTTCCGCATCCGCCTGTGCCCAGTGTCAAGACAGACCCAAGAAGACCGTAGGCAGGATCAGGCGCAGGCGGCTGGCACGGTCGAGGTCCCCCTATGCGTGCTGCTCCACCTGTCTCGGACCCTAGTTGCGTGGGCCATAAAGTGTACGGCATTGTTTACATCCACCGAGGACTAGGCGTTATCATCGCGATGACATGCAGGAAATTATGATATCTCTTACACGAAAGGTATACAGCTTGTAGAACTAAAACCCTGAGAGCAACTGCCATGGTGGATCGCAATGAAAAGTATTCGGGTATCGGTGTGGTATGGAATTGTACGAGATAGGTACAGCTGGCTGCTAAGATTGATGGTCTAGAAGAAATACACCACGGCATGAGAATTAACTATAAATCGTTTTATTACGTATATCAGGGTTAGAGATATGCTATCTCCTGTAGTTGTTACCGAAATTCCAAAATGTGTTTCCTATCAGAAAATATTACTCCAGCAGGGTTGTAATATTGATTAGTCCGCAACATAATCTCCGTCTACTTCAGACACGATGCGATGCCAGCTTTTGGATGAGCTTCTTTCCTGATACCTGCGCTGTTAAAGTAGAATGAACTTTCCCCACTGATTTTCGGTGTCCTTATATGTAAAACCTATTGCATAGAAAACATACACGATAGTTGGAAGATGCAGGCTCGTAACAAAATGCAGCACATGCGAGTTTGTTGGTACGCCTAGGCGCAGGCTCGCGCTACACCAGGCACCAACGCTCGGTTTCGCCTCCGACTTCACATGTGTGGGGGAGAAGGCAGCGCGGTAGAAGGTACACAAGTCTGCGATCGTTATGAACAAGTGAACACGCAAGTTGCCGTCCCTGCGCCCACCCTGCCATGCGGTACACGGTTGACAATCGAATTGTCAGTTACAGTACGTTCTTTTTAAAGCAGTCGGCTTTATTTTGGGAGCCGAGCAGTTTGAGATGAATGACAGTCGTTATCCGGCCTGTATTAATTTGCCCTCTTTTACAATCTGTCGCACTGAATGCTCCATTTCATAGAGAATTACGGATTGTATCAGGTGTTAGGTGACCTTTCAAAAACATAGAACTTAGAAGTCGCTTCGTCGAAAGAATTTGCAGTACAATTGCTTTCGGCAACCGAAAATAGCGACTATGTCTGTTAATAGTGCGTGCGATGTGTTGTGCGTGTGTTCGAACATCGGGTCCAATGAAGTCCACCAAGTGCACTAACAGGTTGGTACAGAAGGTGACAGTTGCAGGGGGTGGATTAAAGTATAGCGGACGCAATTAGCGCCAACCGCACTCTTCACCTTCACCATGGGTCAGGAAGACCAGATTGGATCCGGCATTGGCCGTTTTCTCCAATGCAAACCAGAAAACACCGTCTCTACTTAAGTGACAGTAGACTTTGCGCGGACAATACCGCACTATCTACCCTCACACCTTCAGAAGGTGTCAAAGACGGGCTCAATAAGGCCGAGACGGATACGGCTACCCCTCCTCCTCCTGCTTCTACTGCTACTATTAGTTAGCAATCTATCTGCGCGTTAGTAGTACTGGTACTAACACTGACGCCACCATTTGTCAGAAGTGACGCTGATTAAAGCCAACGCTGAGGCTCATACCTCTTGATCTCAACAAGGAGTGTGAATCTGGGTTTATGCTATTCCGAGTAACTACATACTGGAGGCTCGGAGCACATCAGGGCTTTCCTTGGTTTCCGCCCTCTCATCTCTGTATACCAAAAGCTGTGTCACATTTTACTAAGTTTGGGCTAGGATACTGCTGCTA